GCTGGAGAGGTGTGAGGTTCGAACTCCAGCAACCTGAGGCTGACAGCTTTGTGGAAGCAGCCACTTAAAGGCCTGAGCTAGGGCCAGGCCCCCGACTTCCTTTAAATAATTGCAAGTTTCCAAACTATTTATTTAAAATCTCAGTGGATATTTATAAATAACCTTACACAGTCTGACGTTATTCACCATGTGACATAGCAGTTGGAATTTTACATTTTAGAATCCCCCTGCCCCACTCTGTTCTTTGTCATCTGAGACCTCACATAATACACTCCGGAATATGTCTTGGACAGATCTTCATTTTCAGAAGTCTAGAACCTTCTTTTTAAATTCTTCTTAGGGAGAGATATGAGAACTTACGCTTAGTCTCTGGCCAATCATTAAGACAAGAAAAGTAGAGTTCAGAATTGGTTGATTGTGCTAGAACTATTTTAGGTGGACCCCTGTAATGGGTCAGGCCTAGAATATCCCCTCACGTCTCCGTGTTTGGAGGTGGGGCTTTTGGAAGGTGATTGGACCATAGAGGCATATAGTGGATTAATTCACCCATGAGTTCAAAGCTTAATTATTAGGGGGCGGGGCCTGATCAGAAGAGGAGTAAAGAGGGTGTGTCCCTGGGGGGTGTATTGTTGTCCCAGCTTCTCCCTTCCTCTCTGCTTCCTGACTGCCATAGATGGCACCACCTTCCTGTCATGCCCTTTAACCATGCTGTTTTAGCCTTGGACTAAAGCCCCTGAAACCGTGAACCAAATAAACCTCTCCTCCTTGAAGTTGCAGGTGTTGGGTATTTGTTTTCCCCCCAGTGACAGGAAAGTGGCTGATACAACTTGTTAGAAATCAGCATCTTCTTTTACATTCGAAATGTATGCGCCTCATTACCCTACCCTGGGAGGGATAGGTTAGAAGCGAAAATAAAAATCAACTGTCGAAGTTTCCTGACTGAATCGTAGTTGCACACCTGGGGAAAACCAAACCCTCTCTCTCTTTCTCTTTTTTTTTCACTTTTAAATTTCATGTAAATCATACCCAGATGGTTAATGGTAGGATAAATTACTTTTAAAGCTACAGAAGAATCTTAGAAATTCATTTTTAAAATATAACAAATACGTGTGTGGAAACTGATAGATGGGTGTATCTCAGGAGGGGTGGAAGTGACCACTGTAAGGATTTTCTAGCCTGTTTGCTCTAGCAGAGACAGGAAGGCCCTTCTCACTCCTCAGCTGGTGCAGTGTGGCTGCTGTGTGGTCCGAGACCTGGGCGGCATGCTAGAACCCTGGCCTCACTACCTGAGGAGAGACACCACATTCTCTTGGCCTGTCCATGCATTGCTTGTTGCTAAAGCCTGCTCCTGGGCCAGAGATTTCTCTTCAACTTCCAACACCTACGTGGCTTCCAGGAGTTCCCCAGACCCTTGGAGCATCATAAGGAAATCCCACAAAAAGGAGACAGAAAAGGGTAGGGCTTCTGCTGGTGACCACGTGGCCTCTGGCCCCCCTGCTGGCACTTTTGTCCTGTGCGCTGTATTGCAGCAGGTCTGCACTGTGGGAGCGTGGGGGCCAGCCTAAAGGGGTTTGACACTTTTAGTATCTTTTAGAGATTGATTTTAATTTTCTAAGTGATGTGTGAATCTATTCTCTTCATTATAAATGGAAAGGTAGAGGTAATGGCTAATGTTGCTGCTCTTGTGGCTTGGTGTGTCTTACTAGGTCTTTTCCTGTGCCTGCATCTACAGGCCAAGGCTATGGATGTTCCTGGTGTGTCTGTGTGCCTAATCTCTCTCTCTCTCTCTCTCTCTCTCTCTCTCTCTCTCTCTCTCTCTCCTTCTATCTATCTATATATATATATGTAAAGTCTACTTTGTAAGCCATATTACACTGAATCTGCATCCTGCAGTGATGTTGTACTTGGCCTTATGTCTTGGAGGTCTTTCTGTGGCATATAACTCTACATATTCTTTGAGTTGTTGACCATAAGTTATTTTTCAGCAGTGTTATTTTTGGTAGCTACTTCAGGAAAGAATTTGGGGTCTCACTGGTGCTCAGCAAAAAAATACATTTAAAAATACTGCCCAAAATCTCATTCTTTGTGTCTTTATCTTCAGATCTCCGAAAACGGATCCTCACAGCGAAGGCTATGTCTTGGAATTAGATTGCTCCTCTTCCTTGGAACAACCGCCGGACCAAAAAATCGTCCCAGAGTTCATTAAGAAGGTGCGTGCTGAGGTTGGGGCCTCACTGGATGGACTCGCTGGCTGAGGGGTGTAGGGTCAGGGTAGGTCAGATGCACTGCAGAGGCCTTGGCCATCTAGCCCTTTGGGCAGCCCCGCCCATATAGCACACACAGAACTCTGGATACAGCTGATTGGAGCGAGGTGCTTTCTCCTCCCTCCCTGGATGGTGGGACCCTGCATTCTACCTTTTAGGACTAGAGTGGTGTTAATAGTTACTGGGCGGGCACACCCACTGCTGGAACTCACCATAGCCCCTCGTGTGTCTGCCAGCCCCACATCCTGCTCCGCCCTAGTCCTGTGGGTCTTTCTTGCCTTAAGCTGCCTGCCTTTCACAATGCAAGAGCATGCCAGAGTCCTGTGGTTCCTGGCCTGTGATATACCAGGGAGAATGGCCCCATGGCAGGGAATTCAGAGCTGCCCAGAAACTGTCTGGTTTTGAATGTTTCTTCATGCCCATGAGGTTTCAAGCTTAATTGCCGAGTCCACTTGAGTATCAATATGACATTGACTACAGCAGAAATGGCCTTGCCCAAAACCGGGGCTAAGTTATTTCTTCGTGTTTATCTTGTCCCCCTTACCCAATCTTCCAAAGTACCGCCTTGCGTCACATAATGAGGGGGATATATTCTGGGAACTGTGCCACTAGGCTATTTCTTCCTTGCACAAACATCCCAGTGTACTTTCCGCGACCTTCGTGGTCTGAGTCAGTCACAACGAGGCCTCTCTAGGCAGCACCAGATGTAGGAGGCGGCTGCACACATGACATGGCGTTACAGATGTCTTACAGGAAACATTTTATACATAAGTACATGAGGTACGCTCTAATGATTGGAAAAGGATAGTATGCTAAATGCATAAATCCGTAAGTAACATAGTGGTTTGTTATCAAGTACTGTGTGGTGTATGCAGTTATGTGGCTGGCAGACCAGGAGGCTTATTTACACCGGCATCCTCACCGACATGTGAGTAACATTGTGCTGTGATATTGGGATGCTTATGACGTCACCAAGTGATAACGATATGGGGGAATAAAACTCCCAACCTGAAAGATACCTGGACAAGTTAGTGTTCTCAAAAACTGAAGGATGAATTTTAAGAACAACGGAGGTTAAGAGCACAATATACTTACTGGAGGAAAGAAAGCTCCTGTCCAAGAAGAGGACGGAAGGGGGACCCGAGCTGGTTGCCCTGGAATCTGCTGTTTCTAGGGATTTTTGTACAGCAAAACCATGAGGTAAGGCGAGTCTAAGGTGGAAAATATGAGAACTGGCAGCACATGAGGTGGGCAAAACTGTGGTCAGCCAATAAGGTTACAAGTACAGTCGTTCATGTGAAATTGATTAAATTGGGGTCAATGGGGAAGTGAGTCACGCAGCAAGCAGGCATGAATACAGAACAGGGCCTCTTCCTGTTGGGGGTTGGGTTAGTGACTCTTTCTGGCTCTTTCAAGGTGATTGATACTTATTTAGAATATCAACCCTGATGCCCATCCCTAGGGAAGTGTGTGGCTGCATTTGTTTACTCTTTAGTCTTGAGGTCTGGCCCACAACAGGAGGGTCTGTCTCTTCCAGAGTTGTCTTCCGTTTTGTCTCCTTGAGGGCCTGGCCCCATCTGACTGCCTATAATACTCTTATCTAATTTAGCTGCCTCCAACAGTAGCTCCGATACCATCTTCCGGCATCACCGTAACATGTGCTGCCCATCAGTGACTGAAGTGTCATTGTGTGGAGCATGACCATAACGGACAGTTCCCACCCTGTGCAGGTTGTTGTGGCTTGTTTGAGGCTCAGCTAGGCAGTTTGTGAGTAAGTATTGTTAGCGGTCACCTTCAGATCAGGATTAGTGGAAAGTGCTGAGAAGCAGAGAGCAGAGTAGCCACGGTTTCTCCCTCCTGCCATTGTGGTGGGCGGGCAGATGGACCCAGTCAGGGAGCCTGGTCAGGAGGATGTTTGGCTGAGAGCAGGTGGATGATGCTGCCTTGTGTGGTCTGGAC